GGAGGGCAACCGTCATCGTTCTGACACAACAGATAGACGGAGGACAACCATCATCGTTCTGACACATCAGAAAGACGGAGGCCAACCATCATCGTTCTGACACATCAGATAGACGGAGGACAACCATCATCGTTCTGACACATCAGATAGACGGAGGACAATATCATCGTTGTGACACATCAGATAGACGGAGGGCAACCATCATCGTTCTGACACATCAGATAGACGGAGGACAACAATCATCGTTCTGACACATCAGATAGACGGAGGACAACCATCATCGGTCTGACACATCAGATAGACGGAGGGCAACCATCATCGTTCTGACACATCAGGTAGACGGAGGACAACGCGGAAGCAGCTGACGCCCGCTTCATACGTTGCACATCCGGGACACTATTAACGTTTTTTCATTGAAATGAATAATTAAATATTTTTTATTGGCGATGACGTGAAATATTTTTCTGAGGTGATGATCAAACAGCATCCGGGTTTATCCCCAAACAGAAGCCCGTCACATGTAACCCACTAACACCTAGGTTGATGTCAACAGTGAAGGTGTCACGTGTCAAGCGTGACAAATTCAGATTTACATGTATATGGGATGACCGTCTGATATTAGTGAGTGAGTCTGAGCGTGTGTCAGTGTGTTTGTGAGAGAGAGAGCGTGTGTCAGAGAGAGCGTGAGTGTTTGCGAGTATGTGTAAGTGTTCGAGACAGTGAGTGTGTGTGTGAGTATGTGTGCGAGTGTATGTGTGTGAGTATATGCGTGTGAGTGAATGTGAGGGTGAGTGAGGAGTATGTGTGTGTGTTTGTGTGTGTGACGGTGAGTGAGTGTGTGTGAGTGTGTATGTAAGTGTGGGTGTGGGTATGAGAGTGTGTGTGTGTGAGTTTTTGTGTGGAGGTGAGTGTTTGTGAGTGTACGTGTGATAGTAAGTTTGTGGGTGTGCGTGTGAGAGTGTCTATGTGTGTGTGAGTGTTTGTGTGGAAGTATGTGTGAGTGTATGTGTGATAGTAAGTTTGTGTGTGAGAGAGAGTGTGTGTGTGTCTGTGAAAGAGAGCGTGTGTGTGTATGTGTGTGTGAGCCTGTGTTTGTGTGAGTGTCTGCAGGTGTGTGTGTGTGCCTGTGTGTCAATGTGTGTGGTGCGCGTGTGTCTCTGTGTGTGTCTGTATGTGCGTAATTGTGTATGTGCCTGCGTCTGGTTTTATTAATGTGTATCCTCAAAGTGCACCATCAGTGAGCAATGTTGAGTGTTTACTCACCTTTTTACGCGCTGGGGGGCATTCCAAACCCATTTTGTATGGTGATATTTTTGTCATCAATGTCTTTTGTTATTGTTTAAGGCTGCACTCAGTGATATTCCAACTATATGAAGGCAGTCTGTAAATAATCGCGATAGGACCAGACTTATCAGTATTGTGAATCAATGAGACAAGCCCTTTCCTTATTCATAAGAAATCTCATCCAAAAGCAGAGTCGATCGCATGATTCGGACTATATCATGAGCATGTGTTTAGAAAGCACTATCAAGTAGTGATGATGCAGGAGTTTTAGGAGAACGCAAATACGTACTAGTATAGCTGAGAATGCAATCCCTTGCATACTGATGCGTTGAACAGAGCATAACACAGTCCACGTTATTGCAGATATACCTTTGATGTGACATGCTGACGTGAAATACGCTCTTACAACGACCAGGAAGTGTTTTTCTATAAATCAGCGTTGCTATGTATTTTATGTTTGTATGAAATCAGATAAAACTTCTTATGTTTCTGCTTTTCCGATATTTAAGTAAACCCCTGTCGGTAATTTTTATAAAACTTACACTGATACTGCAGGAATTCTCCCGGTAGATTTCAACTGATACGCATTTGTCCTCGTATATAAAAACTCTATTGTACTTGCAGGGCCTTTACACACACACACACACACACACACACACACACACACACACACACACACACACACACACACACACACACACACACACACACACACACACACACACACACTAAACACTCTCTGTGTGAGAGTGTGTGTATGTGTGAGTGGGTGTGTATGTATGAGTGTGTGTATGGATGTGTGTATGTGTGTGTATGTGTACGTGTGGGATGTGATTATGTTTGTACCTGTCTGTGAATGTGTCTGTCACCCAGCGTACGGCTGGGTGTCTACTGCAGGTATTATTATGACAGACCTTTTACAAGTTATTACTTTTAAATATGGAATAAAATACCATAGTGCATCACTTCCGGCTTTCCTCCGCCATTTTAGGCTGACATGTTGTGTGACATCAATATTATACTGCCAAAATTGTTTACTGGCTTCAAACGAAAAACAGAAACAATAAATTCATGTTTAATCTTTATTAATATATCAAGGTGTAGAGTAAAAGAGCATTAAATTCGCACATGATGCACTACAACCATAAACCTGGCATCAAGACATATATTATATATAATATATATTACGAATTGTCTAGCAGGTATTTCGTCACAACAATAACGAATAACAACAACAAAGTAGACGGGATTCACACTCGCCTGCAGCCAATGATGAATATATACTCCTCACAAACATTCCTACTAATCAACAAACTACACAATCGTCACCACACATTCCCGTTATATGAGACTTGCATATCCTGGCAGAGGTCAGATACTACAGTATTGCTTGCGATATGAAAAATAAATATGAAGTTAATCAGATCAATAACAAGGCGAGCAGTCGAGATATAGGCGTACGCCTTCACTTACTCAATAAATAGACATTACATATTGTGTCAAAGATGTACACATAACTATTGGAAGTAATGGTTTTATAAATATGTGTGTCTGTCTGAATGTGTGTGTGCGTAGAGTTACTGCCCTTGGATGGTCCGGTCGTGTCGCACATCACCTCTGACGAAAAGTTTGAAAAAGCTGAGAAATATCTCTACTTATCGGCGCCATCCTACGGTAAAATATATTGAATTTAATCTGACCGTTTGAGTAACCAGTCCCGATAGATTACTGAAGCTGAATTTGTCGACTTTGCCGATTCTTTATCGATTGTGTGGGACTTTCCATGTGGACATCTGCTGCCCGTGACAATGTCACAGGCCATCGTTTTAAACGAAGCGGAAAACTTTGTAGAATCGGTTATGTCTCAGCCAATAATTACAGAATGTGCGGCAGAAATGTGTATACCGTCGGCGGCGAAAAAAGCCCGAATTAATAATTCTGAGGAAATTTTAGATATACCAACTAAACCTGACAATCATGTAAACATTGAAAACACGCACAGCACGTGCACTAAACAGGCGTCGGGGAACGCCGAGCTTCTCGCTGCAATTGACAATATGAAGCAGTTTTTCAGTAATCAACTCGGTGAGAGTGAAGCTAGAGTTACGAGATCTTCAACAGCAGTGTTGAAGCAGGAGACTGAGAAATTGAAGAAAGAACTCGATGCTGAAATAAAGATTCTTGGGGATAAAGTTGTGTATCTTGAAACATCTCAGAGAACGGCTAATGAAGGTAACTCTAAGAAGAGTGGTGCGGTGGAAAAAACTCTCACAAATCTAGAAAAGAAATTCTCGGAAGTTGTAAAAGGTAGAACTGCAGAAGATGATCTGGCTTGTAAAGTGGTTGTCAGAAATTTGGCTTTTGATGAACGTGAGAACAGTGATCCAACCCTGTGGTGGATAAACACAATTGTACTTGTAGTGCATTTACACACACACACACACGCACGTACACAAACACACACACACACACAAACTAAACACACACACACAAACTAAACACACACACACACACAATCCTTGCATATTTCACTCGTTGATGTGGTTACATTGGTACCTGTCTGCGATTGTGTGTGTATGTGTGTGAGAGTGTGTGTGTATATGTGTGTGTAAATGTGTGTGAGTGTGTGTGAGAGAGTGTGAATTTTTGTGAATGTGTGTTTATGTGTGTACGTGTGTGAATGTATGTGAATGTATGTGTGAGTGTGTGTGGTGTGTGTGTATGTATGAGTGTGTGTATGGATGTGTGTATGAATGTGTGTGTATGTGTACGTGTGGGATGTGATTATGTTTGTACCTGTCTGTGAATGTGTCTGTCACCCAGCGTACGGCTGGGTGTCTACTGCAGGTATTATTATAATTAACTTTTGACAAGTTATCACTTTTAAATATGGAATAAAATACCATAGTGCATCACTCCGGGCTTTCCTCCGCCATTTTAGGCTGACATGTTGTGTGACATCAATATTATACTGCCAAAATTGTTTACTGGCTTCAAACGAAAAACAGAAACAATAAATTCATGTTTCATCTTTATTAACACATCAAGGTGTAGAGTAAAAGAGCATTAAAATCGCACATGATGCACTACAACCATAAACCTGGCATCAATACATATATATATGTATTACGAATTGTCTCAAGCAGGTATTTCGTCACAACAATAACGAATAACAACAACAAAGTAGACGGGATTCACACTCGCCTGCAGCCAATGATGAATATATACTCCTCACAAACATTCCTGCTAATCAACAAACTACACAATCGTCACCACACATTCCCGTTACATGAGACTTGCATATCCTGGCAGAGGTAAGATACTATAGTATTGCTTGCGATATGAAAAATAAATATGAAATCATTCCTTTAAATAATTGTTAATCAGATCAATAACAAAGCGAGCAGTAGAGATATAGGCGTGCGCCTTCACTTACTCAATAAATAGACATTACATATTGTGTCAAAGATGTACACATAACTATTGGAAGTAATGGTTTTATATATATGTGTGTCTGTCTGAATGTGTGTGTGCGTGCATGTTTGTGAGCGGGTATTTATGTGTGAGCGGGCATATGTCTGTGTGCGCGCATGCGTACGTGCATGTATGTGTGTGAGCGGGCATGTGTGTGTGCTAGTGTGCTTGCAATTTGTGTGTGTGCATGTGTGTGTGCATGTGTGTGTGCATGTGTATTTGTGCGTGCGTGCATGTGCGTGTATGTGTCTTTAAAACAAAGAATCAAGGTCAGTGAGATTCAGAGACTATAAGATATGATAGTATGACGAGTATTGTGTTTGGGTTGTAAGGCCTTTTCAATGGAAAATGAAGTTTACAAGAATAACATGAATAAATACAAACATTGAAGATGACTCACGCCTTTCCTGAGGGTGACGTGTGGAACTATAAACCCTAACAAGAACAAATACGTCTGTTAATGGCGAGGATGTCGGACCTGAAGGGTGACAATGGAGGTAGTGGCTACAAGTGGTGTTCCTGCAAGTAGGCATCAGCCCTTTCTGCTATTGCTACAAAGATCTGTTTGGCGTCTCGCATGATGAGATAGTTTCTCCTGTCGATTTCAGAAATATCCTTCAGAGCCCTGTATTCACTCGGCATGATGTCACGTGACACATCAGTAGCTACTTCCTGGTTGAGGCCTTCCAGCATGTCCTGCATCAAACACAACATCTCCACGTACTTGTTTTCAAGTCCCTCCAGTTTCTGAGTGTAGTCATATGTATCGAGGCGAGCTTGTTCCAGGAAGACCCCAATTTGTGACAAACGCTTGGTTTCATTGAAAAGTATATCCTCAATCTGCAGGGAAAGGAACATTCTCATTGAACTGTTTATATTTGCTTTGCTTACACAACTCAAAGCCGGGTGTATGTTTAACAGGGGTTTATGTTGAAGTGTTCAAGGATATGTCAAACTTTGCAAAATCAGAGTAAAGTAATATACATGTATAAGGAAGAGAATTTATGGACGTCAACTTCTTAATTTTGAGGACACACGTTTGGGAGTATATGCTTACTCCTTCATCAAGTGAATGAGGCAGTGAACATATATATGTAACTGTAAGGAAAGTAGGAAAGTAACAAAAGTGATAAGATAAAGTGGAAACTAACAAGGTAGGCCAACAGATGATTGCCACTGGAATATATGTTGTAAAATCCACTGTCCAACACGCCGCTTAACCTAACGCACTAACCCACTGACTCAGTACTGATGCTGGGAGTGAGGTAAGTGAAAGAATTCCTGAGAAGACTTCCTTCATATACGGTATTACGTCACACGATCGTCTGACCGAGGGTGTGACGATAAGGGGTATGTTACTTGAACTCTATATGTTATACTACTATATATATCACACTGCCGGTTTAAGGGTAGTACTGTGCATGTTATACTACTATATATATCACACTGCCGGTTTAAGGGTAGTACTGTGCATGTTATTCTACTATATATATCACACTGCCGGTTTAAGGGAAGTACTGTGCATGTTATACTACAGTAACTATATATATCACACTGCCGGTTTAAGGGTAGTACTGTGCATGTTATACTATATACCGTACTTACCAGAATGCCAGGTTTGAAGGAAGCACCTGTTCCCGGGAATCCTGTGAGAGAGGGACTCGTGTGGAGTAGTTGTGCGGCTGTGCTGCCTATCCGTGTCTTCTACAAAACATCAACGGTACACTGATTGTTTGTTTGTTTGTTGTTCAACGCCCCTATCAGCAATATTCCCGCTATATGACGGCGGTATGTACATAATCTATTCTGGACCAGACAATCCAGTGATTGACATCATGAGCACGCATCCACGTCAACTAGGCTGACCACCCGATCCCGTTAGTCGCCCCTAACGACATGCATAGTCGCCTTTTACGGCAAGCATGGGTTGCTGAAGATCTATTCTAACCCGGATCTTCACGGGTCGGACGGTACACTGATAATCACGGGATGGAAGACGCCAAAATACAGACAGTTAAACGAACCTAGGTTGGATGAAAAAACATTAAAATGGCGTTCAATATTATTTCACTCATACAGCGACGTGATTGCACGCGTGTGTTCCAGCTGCTTATACTAGACCGGACTGATGTCGACTTTGTGGTGCTGGGCCACTGATATATCATGCCGAAGTTTAACATGGATACCCCAGTCAGACATTTTACTGACTCCGAACCGACTCGTTCTTGTTTTATCCCTTTGTGCCGAGCGCCAGGCAGGGTAACAAGGAGTACCATCTTTTACTGTATTTTGGTATGACGTGGCTATGGAATCGAAACACCGACCACCCGCTCTCCGGGCAGACGCTCTATCCACTTGTTAATGCGACAAGAGTATAACGGACAAAACAGCTGTGAAAATTATATGAATGGTCAGTGATGGCACCAGGTGTTCGCGAAAAGCGTAAATAATGTACCACGTCACGTTTCTCAGCCCGATACTGCATTGTTTTACGCCGCATTTAGCAATATTCTAGCAACATCAGGGCTGAGGACACCAGACATCGAACCCGGATCTTCGGCGTGACGAGCGAACACTTTAACCACTAGGCTACCCCACCGCATTGTGTAGATGCTGTTAACGTAGGCCGGTATGTCTGTTGTACTTACAATTATGTAGGTTATTTTGTCGGTGAGAGTTGCTGCTGTCTGAGACTCGTACTTGAGTGACGTCAGGTCTATGCCGAGTGGCATGGGCGGGAGAGAGGGTAGGGGTGGGAGTGAGCCAGAGACGGGCGCCCCACCACCACACGGGTTTACCCAACGGCCGTCCTCCTCAGGTAGTGGTACCGCATGGGTTGTTGAATTCGGATGTTGAAAGAGCAGCAGAGCTAAAAGATGAAACGACAACAGTTCAGATATAGCTCGTGGTTATATTATTACATGTTGAAATAAACTGCGGAAACAAATTCCACTGGGAATAAAAAGCAAAGCAGCGATACCAATTGTAGGAGTTGATCACTGAAAATCAGGTCCGAAATGGGTTGACATGTCCTACAAATGATACACTTTTTATATTAACCAATATTTCGCATTCACAAACGTGGCGTGGTAGTCTAGTGGTTAAAGCGTTGAACCGACACGCCAAAGACTCGGGTTCTATTCCCAACATGGTTACACTCGGCGAATACTGATACAAAAGGCATAACGTCACACACATTCACATTCATCCTGGAACACATGATACCAAATCCTTCCAACGCACCTGTTGACAACGTGAAGGCGAGCACCAGTTTGGACATTCTGAACGGAGTAGATGAACACTTCGGTAACGTTCTGAAGAAGTCTTTTTTATTTGTGTCTTAGACTCTCCCATGGCAGTATTTATATACTTATATACGTAAAACGAAAGAGAATGACGGGTATTACTGAAATATATTGGAAAATTACATTAATTCGCATCCCAAATTTCCATAATTAATGTATCAAGTGGACATCTTTCCTGGACAGTGATACCTTGACCTACTCCCAATCAACCAATCAGATCCCAGTCTTGCAAACAAACCATGGTTAATTCGGCAGTTTTCGTGAAAAAACCCAACTTTCAAACCATCAACGATCGCCAGATATTCTGTGAGGTAGCTATGGTAACCTAAAACAGTTGTACCAACGATATTGTGGACAGCTAGAAACAAGGAATTACATAGGAGAAGCTCACCTTGTTCTGAGGACCAATTAGTGGAAGGTAACGAAGGCAAAGGGAAATCCAACCTTCTCACATCTCCAAGCATACCCTATAGTCCTACCTTTAATAAAACAGCCAATCAGATCTGTTAGGGCGCCTGTGAATGAGCTGTTTTTATTTACAGTTTATATATTTTGCATTATCACCATCATGGCGTCGGACATCGATAAGCCGCTTTTGCATCAACACAGGTTTTTATTTCCGTCAAAGTCACAATTAACCTCAACTGGACTTTCCACACCCCAGGAAGAGTGTCGCTGCTTCGGCCAACGTGTGTACCAGGAAACTCGTCTCTAATATATGTGTGATAGAGCATGGAGCACGACGCGTGTTGGTATTGTTTCACGAATTAACGCCAGTAAACATCACCAGATCATTCATATATAAAAATAGTTATCTGTACATATACTAGATTCTGGGTTCCAGGGATTCTAAAATCTGTGGCATATTGCCTATGCCGGTAGGAGTTTACTTCAGCATGCTCGCTAACGTCGATTTATGAATATAGGCATGGTTCGATTCTAACCCTGACGTCATCATAGGTGGGATGACGATTGTGAAAGAGTGTAAAACAAAAGTTCTGTTCAGTTCAGATTGTGTAAATGACGTCTAAAAAATGTAGTAATACAAGGTTGTTCATAAAAGTTCCTATGTTACTAACCTATGTTTCCTACATCTTGTGCTATTATTGATGTTACAGATTGTTTGCAAACACCGTGTTTTGTATCGGATTCTACGACAAACGTTTTACATAAAACTGATCGTGATAGGTGTGGCAACCGTGTTACTACCGGCATATCATTTATCAAAACCAAATATTTTATATATTTTAACGTTTACGGTTTATCCTCTTATATCATTTGTGTATGAATATATATTATATACACACGAAGAAAGCCGTAAGTCAGACTATATGTTGCACATCTTATCTAAAGGATTAATTATTCAATAAACATCTGTAGCTTTCAGTCTTTCGTGGCTTAAGAAATATTTTGCCTACTGAATTTTAAATTCAGATGACGACCAAAAAGAGTGTGCATTAAAAAAAATGGATGAACAAATTGGGAAGTCATTGTTATAAAAATAAACTCCTTAAACAGTGTTTTTCCGTGTCAAGCCATTGTCCCACAACGTATAGGACGCGGATGTATATCAAAATATTTCCGGCAAATCTATGAATAATCTATGAATGAATGTAGTTTCAATGGCCGTGAGAGAGTATTTGCAGTGTTGAAGTGTCGTCATGTGTACGCTAGTTCCCGCCTGCACCCCTCTGGTTAACGTGAAGGCTGCACTAAGATGGCGTCCTGTTATGTGAGTGAGTGAGTGAGTATAGTTTTACGCCGCTTTTAGCAATATTCCAGCAATATCACGGCGGGGGACACCAGAAATGGGCTTCACACATTGTACCCATGTCGGGAATCGAACTCTGGTCTTCGGCGTGACGAGCGAACGCTTTAACCACTAGGCTACCCGACCGCCGCCGTCCTGTTATGTATCCGTGTCACGTGATGGTAGACGTGCCATGGATGCCCCTGAAGTATTCAGAATACACACAATGGTGGACACTTGTAAGTGGTGACGCCCTTCATCACATATATACAGACACCTTCATTCATACAACTGTTCTATTTAGTCAGTTATGCGCTGCGTCTTCGCAACAGCTTGGTGTGCTTGTAGGTAGAGAACCGTCCCTGTTTCAGAGGAGCGTCATGATCATTGTCACCGTGTGGGGACGGGTATTACTCGGGTCGAAACGCTCAATTGCTATTTTCGTTTTCTCTCGCATGTGATTGGTTGTTGCCTAGTTAACAGCATTTCATTGTGCAGTTACCCGACTGGGAATGCACAATCGTTCCATGCATTCTGATTTACACGTCAGTCCAAGCTTGCACGGTGCCGCCTGTTTACTTTGAAAAGATCTTCGAGAAATGAAAAGTTAAAACTCATTTTTAGATGAGTTTAAATTTAAACCGTTGTTGTTAGAATGCACAGAGGGAAGATATAGTTCCGGTTAACGCATGATGTGACACCTGTCACGTGACTGGTACGTGGTATACATGTATGCAAGGATAATGATGACGGAATCCTTGCGTAACTTTTGAGTTGTATGTGTAAATGCGTAAAGGATTAATGCGTAGACTAGTCAATAAATGTAATGTAATTACATGTATAATGTATGGATTGAACGGTAAATGAGTCATTAATTGTAATGTAATTATAATGTAGGGATCGAACTGTAAATGTGCAGGCAATAATTGTAATGTAATTATAATGTAGACGATGAACGGTAAATGTGAAGGCAATAATTGTAATGTAATTAAAATGTAGACGATGAACGGTAAATGTGAAGGCAATAATTGTAATGTAATTATAATGTAGACGATGAACGGTAAATGTGAAGGCAATAATTGTAATGTAATTAAAATGTAGACGATGAACGGTAAATGTGAAGGCAATATTTGTAATGTTATAAAGTTTAGGGATTGAACGGTCAATGTGAAGGCATTTTAATGTAATCATACCGGTGGTGATGAATGATATAGGTGTAGGCAGTAATAATGATGCAATAACGATACAGGCGATGAACGATGTATGTGTAGACAGTAATGTTGTATATGTTACTGTAGTAAAGTCATTGAACGATACCTGTACAATTTGGAAATAATTAAATCATTCGCTTATGTATGATTCGGTAGCTAATCAAACCTCTCTTGTAATCTGGTGTGGCTTTGGCAAGGATTGGGATTCACAAAAAATAATAAACTCGTGAGTCGGAATTCTGCTCGGATTGGTAAAATCAAAACAAGGGAATTTGGCCAAAAGGTCTAACTTAACCCTCGGTTATATCGATGATAGGATATCGTTCAAGAATGACCAAGAGCCAATTCTGTTCCCTTGATTTACTCACCAGGGGTAGAAATAAAATAGACCAGTGAAACTATTTCATATTAAGATCTATGCATAATATTCAGAGTGACAAAACTCTCACGATGATACTGACTGTACGACAAGAGGGATGCCTTCAACTTTCCAATTGTCACCTTTCCCTTTATGTCGAGCAATATTCCAGCAGCTCCAGCCTTTGGGAGGTTCACAAAGGTTCTCTTTTGAGGTACCATCGATCATGCTCTCAATTCGAAGATTTCCTCCGACTCCTGCCCAATGTTGTTTGGTCAGGGTTACATTCAAGGCGTCAATAAAGCTTTACATAAATTATGGTAGACATGTGGATGACATTTCCAAATTTGACATCAGTGACAAATAATATGCCTGATGTAATTCCTACACTACACTTTACTATACTTATTACGTTCCGGTGTTTTTCAGGTGAACAATTTACTTGCGTTTGTGACGGGTGCCACTGTTGGGGCAATATACGCGTAACTTTTCGCGAACACCTGGTGTCATCATTAATTGATAGTAGTTCATAAACACATGCTTATGATACAGTGGAATTCATACAACGGAGTACCTTCTGCAGACAGTACTTATGATCATGAAAGTCATATAAATGAATTATAAGTGATTCCATGGCATTTGACTGGCAAACCAAACAACTTGCCTTTGCATGTGTTTGTGACCAGTGCCACCTGTGGGGCAGGATACGCTCACCTTTTCGCGAATACCTGGTATCATTACTTTTTGATAGTGATTTATAAACACATAATCATGATATAGTCGGAATCGTAGAAAAAGTGGGAGAGATGTGACAATCGTTATTGGGAGAAAAGGTACAGGTAATCGACGTGAGGATTGGAGAATATACATTATACAGGAAATACTTTCTTTTTACAAACATCCTTAAAGGGGCTGGGGGTGCATGAAAGACATTATCCCACACGCACAATGCTCTGTACAGACATTTCCCCACACGGACAATACCCCACGTATTATATTAATTTGATCCAAAGGGATTGATTATACCCCTAAGGGGGTCTTTTGATCCTGAGAGGGGAGTGTTCTGATAGCAGGATAGTTTCACCCCCGAGTATGCCAGTTCTAGGATCAGGACACTCTAAGCAATTCTATCGGAGGACAGAATGACTCTGGAGTGAAATTTAAGGGGAGTGATTCTATCCTGCCACGCCTCCATGAACGCAGATATATATAGTCACAGCGTGTCCTCGTCGCTGCCTGGACTACGTACTACCAGAACTGTTCAGTGAGTGAGTTGTAACGCTTCATTTCGCTTTGTATATTTCCTGACGTTTAACTCTAAAAATGTCATGTGCATATACTCAACATTACACGTAGTTTATATAGCTGAAGTGTAAATGGATATTGCTTTACAGCGGCGTCAGGATGTCGCTACCGAAACGTCGCTTTTTTGCTGTAAATGAAGAAGTTGTCTTTCATAAATTGTGTCTACGTTGTCATTCCCAAACAGTAGGTCAAGAATGTTTCAACTAGCTTCATTTGTCCAACTTCGTCTTGTAACTGCCTATAAAGATGCAGAAACTCTGCAAGTCGGTATGTTTCTTCAGCTGAAACCGTAGTCACTGATTCCGACCATGAGGACCATCAACCAATAGCAGGCAGACAACCAACTGTAGTCAAGGCAGCTGTGGTCAGTTCACGTGAGTACCGGTATTCGAAGATCACCTCTTCCTTTAACAACCTTCTGTTTGTGTTACAGCTGTTTATATAACAATGGGTGAATGGATGCAGTGTTTTTAGCAATATTCCAGCAATATAACGGCGCGGGACACTAGAAATGGTATTCACACATTGTACCATTGTAGAGAATTGAACCCGGACCTTCATCGTGACGAGCTAACAATTTAACCACTAGGCTACCCCTCGACCCCTCTAACAATAAGTTTTAAGTGGTAAATTGGCAGTTTTGAGCACTTAAACACAACACACCTTTAGAAAGTGAAACATATTTCCGTTTGTAACTTCTTAACTAATTTTCTATTAAATTTACACATGTATTTTGGCGTAGTTGCTGTGTAACTATTCAGCTTCTTTGGGTGCAGTCCATCATCCCGAGGCAAGAGAGTTAAATGACTATAAAGGTCCAGTTTCCACCCTTGCCGAACTAGGCAATATTTTCAAAATCTGTTCATGTTTCTAATCAAGGTGCTTACGTGATTTGATGCATTTCGCGATGTAAGACCCGTTTTATCACAATATAGATCTTGATTATTGATACGAGAGGTGGATTTTGATTGGTCCATAGGAAAGGCTTAGAAGGGACATAACTGGTAATAGCCACTGGTGGCGCTACGATCGAGCCCAGTAATTCCAGCCTAGTTCGGCAAGGGTGGAAACTGGACTTTTAAAGTCAGTTAACTCTCTTGCCTCGGGAAGATGGGTTCAGTCATGTGTAAGTAGTTGTCTACAGCTTTAAGAAGTGCTGCAAATAATGCGGGTCTCTACAAATACAGCTGAACTATTTCCGTTTTGTTTCACAGAATGAACGAAAAATATGGAGGTTTAGTTTTATTTAAAAAAATATATAAATATAAATATTCCAAAGAAAAACCTTGTAAAACATATTTCAAATAAATACAAAAGTCAACAAAGAAAATAAAATAACCAAAATGTTGACAAGTTAAATACAATTTGAAACAATATTGTCATCTTGTTAAATGTATACACAAACACATTTGTCATGTCTGAAATCACAGCCTCGTTATAATCATACAATTCAACGACAAATCATTATACAATGGCCAAGTGTTAACATTCAGATCTATAGAAAGATTACTTGATCTATGTACACCACACAACATAAGATGGTCATCTTGTAATCGGCACACTGGAAACAATAAGTGATGCCTTAGAACATGGCTTGCAACAGTAATAATCTAAATGACATTGTTCTTTTGACAATGTTTAAAGATTTGTAAATGAACGTTTAAAATTACATCGATTTAATCTTTTGTGAAACAGCATATGGAAATATAGAGACCAAAGTACATAAGTGAGTGAGTGAGTGAATATGGTTTTACGCCGCTTTTAGCAATATTCCAGCAATATCACGGCGGGGGACACCAGAAATGGGCTTCACACATTGTACCCATGTCGAGAATCGAACCCGGGTCTTCGGCGTGACGATCGACACATGAAAACGATTGAAATGCTTACATATGGACGATTATGAAGTACGAAACACCCCGCCTGACGACCCCACCTGACTACCCCGCCTGACTACCCCACCTGAATACCCCACCTGACTACCCCGCCTGACTACCCCGCCTGACTACCCTACCTGACTACCCCACCTGACTACCCCGCCTGACTAACCCACCGTACCATGTTACCCGTGAAGATCCGAGGTAGAAGAAGCCTTCAGCAACCCATGTTTGCCGTAAGAGGCGACTTTGCTTGTCGTAAGAGGTGACTAACGGGATTAGGTGGTCAGGCTCGCTGACTTGGTTGATGCATGTCATCGTGTCCAAATTGCGTAGATAGATGCTCATGGAATCAATAACTGGATTGTCTGGTCCAGACTTGATTAATTACAGACCGCCGTCATATAGCTGGAATATTGCTGATAGGGGCGTTAAACAACAAACAAACAAGTCCCAGGTACGTTGGGAGGTGTATCGCCAGGATCGTTTGTGGCACTTACTCGACTGTATGGCAGGTTAAGTAGCATAATAACAATCTCACTTTATAACAGCCTGAATATACACATGAATACACGCATGACATGAACGTTATGTTATCAATGAATTAGCAAAATAAATACATAGCCATTTACAGTACGTGACATTTTCAAATTCAAAACCTGTTCAATTAGGAGCTGTTGTCCTGCAAGTAGGCATCGATCTCCTCCGATATGGCGACAGCAACGGCCTGGGTGCCACGGACCATGATGTAGTTCCTGACGTCGATCTGAGATATCTCATCCAGGGTCCTGTATTCATCTGGCATGATGTCACGTGACACATTTGTCGTCACTTCCTGGTTAAGTCCTTTCATCGTAACGTGCATCTTACACAACAATTCCACATTCTTGTTTTCGACTTGTCTGATTTTGTCCGCATAGTCATAGGTATCAAAGCCAGCTTGTTCGAGGAACACTTCAATCTTTGACAACCGTTGAACTTCGTTCAAAAACAGTTCCTCGATCTGAAAAAGAATATATCATCATCATCATATATAAACGTCGTCGTCGTCATCGTGTTTCTAACGTCAACTCATGAATTGTATAAAAAACGTCAACGCCAAGGAATAACCATTCCTGATTGTCAGACGAAACAGATTCCATTGGGCGGAAAAAGCAAAAATAGCAGTGAAAATGTATCCTTGCTATCAAGCAATGGTCTGAGAGGCCACGTGATATAGCTGGAATACCTTCACATGATGATGATGATGATGATGTCGTTGACGTTGACGTTAACGGGAAACGGGACTGTGTGTACATTTAACGCTGAATATCGAACGCCGATATAGCAACTAATTATTAGCAACAAGTCAAGCACATCCAGACATGTACATAATCAACAGTTTATAGAAATATAGAAATCGGATATACCAAAACAAAATACGATGTTGAATAAACGTGCATCACGACGTCACTAAAACCTACCGTTGTTCCGTTAGTGTATGAAGCGCCTGTACTGGGGAAGCCATCGAGGACAATACTGCTTGCCGCATTAGCTACTGACGTGCCTATTCTGGATCGCTGTAAGAAATAAAATAGACAGTATGTGCAACATTCCGGAGCAGACGAGGTAGCTAGATGTCCATGCAGCCTGTGTTAATCTGTCAGGATCGGATGGTAATGTACTCGAATTAGAAAAGCCATTAAGTTAATGCCGTTAGTTCGTCCCTGTGTATTCCTTCTATATTCATCAGTTTCGGTTGTGTCGAACCTCGGATAACACGAATTATTTATATAGGTCCCTTCAACTACGACATATTGTTTGACTGTATGTTAATTGTTTTGGAGAAACAAAATATTACTTTATTTTTATATTATAAGCTTTTCTCTACGTGCTGACGTCACATGTTTAGCTTACTGTGAATACAAACTGTGTTTTTATGAAATGAAGTCGATGTTTCCTGCGGTAGAATGGGACGAGACATGAAACGACCTATATATCTAAAACTAACATTCAATTCTTTCAACGCTATGCCACAACCAGGAAGTGAGATCACGTATGTAGGTAGGTAGGTATAATAATTAAAAAAACTTTTCTTAATCATAATCAAAGAGTCCAGAGTCCATTTAACGCAAGGGTGAGTCAGGTGAGTGGGGTTATATCTGTGATATAATAACTTGACATTAAGTAACACAGGTCTTAGACGTTTAGCAGTTTGATGAAACCCACGTGTCAGGGAATGTTGACAGACCAAGCATCATAATCGGGAGGATTCGAACACATAATCAGCGGATCCAAACTGCTAAGGGACACAACTCTGTAAGTTAGCAATAGTATCGTTGGTACAACAAAATGGCATAAAAGCTACAAGTCATACGACTTACTATTGTGTAAGATGTCTCGTCACACAGACTGACAGCCGTCAGCGCCATGAGTTTCAGTGAAGCTAGCTCCTCGCTGATTGGCTTAGGCGGGACTGTGGGGAGATTCAAGGCTGATCCGGAGATGGGCTGACCCCCTCCGCAAGGGTTGACCCAACGGCCGTCCTCCTCGGGTACCGGTGCAGCGAGCGTTGTTGGAATACGTTGTGACGATAATAGCACCACTGAAATACATACGAAAGTACCAAGACTGTAAGCATGCATCGTATATTATCATACATGACAAGGCTTCAACATATATGTGCCGTACGCGTATTGTGTTGAGAATTAATTCTTTGGACATTCCAAAGGATGCGAAGCAAGATGTGCAATAACAAAAACATATAGAGTGAGTGAGTTGGGTTTTACGGTGTTTCAGTATCACGCCGTGTCAGCACGTTGGGGGGGGGGGGGGGGGGGGGGAAGCCTCAGTAAACAGCGGATCCTGCACAGCTAAGGGACGGAACTGCAAATTGCGGCACGTTAGAATACTTGGCCAGCAGAACAAAACTAATAATTGTAATAGGAAACCTTTCAAAGAGTGAAGTCGCCTTTATAAACTTGTTCGAACATTGTTAAATACACAGGTTTAAGATATGGCTCATCCTCATTAATCCAGGGGAAACACTCGTAAAACGTTACCTTGGCCGATTGAAAGTTATATGTAAAACATTGGCAAAAAAAAAGGTTTCAAATGTTATGCGAAAGGGATAGTAATGGATAAAATTAATGAATAAGTTTTATTTCTAAACTAATGGATCTAGTTCGATGTAGCCGTAATAAATAAAGTTAAAAGCGGTAATATGGTAAATAATTAGCTTAAATTCACATATTCGTGTAACCAACCTGTGGTGATTATAAAAACTGCAAAACACGATTCCATTCTTGTAGAGTTTGCAGGAGAACTTTTACGATGACAGTAAGATAATCACGAAGGTAGGCAAACCAGTATTCCAGTAAGCGATGGGAGAGAACTGATTTCATTGCTATGCTATATGCCATATTTATACAAATATGATAAACCAAACTAGGGATTTCTTGACTGAAATTCTCTTCATCTTGTTCAAACTTTCCGTAAACACTGTTGGGCATTACTTACAGGACAACCAATCACACGCCACCCGCTACGGGAACAGTGACATGAGCATTGTAGGTATGCATTTCATTCAGGTTTTCTCGGCTGTCGTGAACGCAGAGCAATTGGGGTCGCAGACACGGTAATGTTCTCACTTACCTCCCTTCGCCATGTCATGTTGTCAGGAACCCGGCCTACTCCCGGTGAGGCTAGTCGGGTCACCTATTCAGGAATGCCCCCTTCACAGCCATTAGATTTGAATGTGGGACTTTCCAGTACATCGACATAGGTATGACTCGGTTTAAAAAACATTTGCTCAATGGCATACAATAGAAAGGTAACATATCTATGGGTCTTTACATAGCGTTGATTCTTTGTGAATATCTTGATGTTGTAAGTGGGATTTAACGCCGATTTGAAGTTATTTAAGTTACAGTGTGGTTGAAAGCTTCAGTGGGAATACCAAAGGTGGCATAGATTGTTGACTTTTAACACTTTGGAGGAACGCACGAGGATTGGTTCGGGGCTGATATACCAAGGATCATATTTGGGGAAAGATGGGATTCGAACCCACAACTTAATCATCTCAGCCTCCAGATCGTCCCAGTTTAGATGTCCCTGTGGATCCGGGGTAGAGTAGGTCTTCAGCAACCCATCTGTCCCTAAAAGGCAACTATGCTTGTCGTAACAGGCAACTAACGGGATCGGGTGGTCATGACGTGTCCGGAGGCGTCTTAACGAACGTGATACGAACGTCGACGTTAGGCAACATGACAGACTTGGGGTTTGGTCGGTAATGATGAGGCGAGATCAATATGACTGCCAGAACGAGCTGCATATTGTTCATGGAAGTGTCATTGGTCAGTACCACAAAACACAGGTGCCAAGAGTTGCGCCGTTAGTGCCTCATGCTTGTCAACTTTTGTCTTTCAAGACAAGACTCGTGCCCACTGTGTACGTATCATGACTGACTATCTCCAGCACGCCAGCAGTGAGACATCACCAGAAGGCCATGGCCAGACAGGAGTCCTGACCTTTCACCCATTGGGCGCGTCCGGGACATTATCGGGAGACGTGAACGCCAAGGCCAAAGGCCACCCGTTTCGGACCGGTCCAGGCCTGCAGGAGTGGACAAGACTCCCTAAAACTGTCTTACGGAGATTGATTCGGACATGAAATTACGTCTCTGACACTCATACATGCATGTTCTGGTGTCCCCCGCCGTGATATTGCTGGAATATTGCTAAAAGCGGCGTAAAACCACACTTACTCACTCACTTAACTCTCCACAAGACCGTATGACAAGAAAGATGATTCAACTTCCCAATAATCAACATCTTTGCATATTTACATATTCCAGCACTCTTTCTCGAAGATTTCAAAGACGTCATATAATTCTTGCTCAAAAGATGTTTGATCAGGATGACAACATTCGAGCAGTAAAGCTTTCAAAAGGGTTTTTACGATACTTCGAGGGCAACCATGATGTCTGATGCAATTCCCTATTTCGACTTGTTCCATATGTCACCTTGATTGTTTTAAGTTGAACAATTAACTTGCCTTTGCTTGTGTTTGTGACAGATACGACCGGTGGTGCATTATACGCTCACCTCATCGCTGAACACCATGTGTTATCACTATTTGATAGTGATTCATAAACACATGCTCATGATATAGTCGGAATCGTACAAATGACTTGGGATTACATGACTATGGAAATGGTTTTGTCGTTACAAAATGTTTTTTTTATTACAAAATCAAAATACGACGAAGAAGGAGCCCACATCTACAATATCATTTTTGCCTTGGACTATATATGTGTTAATCTAGAATGTGGAGCGTTCTCTTTTGGGACATTCTCCCCCTTTGATATTGAATTTGTTCATGGTGGAGTAGGCGTTCATCTGTCATTTGGGCGCGGTCGGTTAGCCTAGTGGTTAAAACGTTCGCTCGTCACGCCGAAGAACCGGGTTCGATTCCAGACATTGGTACAATGTGTTAACCCATTTCTGGTGACCGCCGTGATATTGCTGGAATATTGCTAAAAGCGGTGTTAAAACCTCACTCGCTCACTCACTCACTCACTCACTCACTCACTCACTCACTCAATCAATCAATCAATCAATCAATTACTCACTCACCCTTGTAAGACTTGACCCTCACTTAGTGTGAGTTCACAGGTGTGAACGTCGTCGCCCATTACTCCTTGTTTACGCAAGTCAATAGCCGATCGGAGAAACGCATTTTACGTGTGCTTCATTTCATATGTATGCACGCTTATCACAACAAGCAATGCCTTGTCTCGTGTGATTCATATCCCCGAGGCAAAGGAGTTAACTGACTATAAAAGTCCAGTTTCCAGCCTTGCCGAACTAGGCTGGTATTATGTAGTTACGTTTTGTCTGGACTAACGAGTCTATGCATAGTCGAATCAAATTCGCGCACCGAAATCGAAATCCGGTTCGTAAACTGTCATGCAGATTTCGATCGATTGAAGGATTTGCAAAGCATGTGCATCGCCAATTCGTTGTCAGCTGATACTTTCCAAATCCTTTCATGTTTTTAATCAAGGTGCTCACGTGATTTGATGCATTTCGCGATGTAAGACCCGTTTTATCACAATATAGATCTTGATAATCGATCAGATCGTCCTGACTGGGCGCCACCTTTTTGTGTGAAGCAAACGCAAGTGATACGAGAGGTGAAATCTGTCCATAGGAGAGGCTTAGAAGGGACATAATTGGTAATAGCCACTGGTGGCGCAACGATCGAGCCCAGTAATACCAGCCTAGTCTGGCAAGGGTGGAAACTGGACTATTAAAGTCAGTTAACTCCCTTGCCTCGGGAAGATGTGTGTGATTCTGTTCGCGTGATGTTTACATTTATGCATAAAATGCCAATAGGTATCAAGAGGTTCAATGTAGATGTTGCTGTGAAAAATGATAAGTGTGACATTCATTCTCACGCACGAAACAAATATTAAGGAGACCAGTATTGAACATATTCCAACAAATGAATATAAGGTTTGGGGCTAAAACCCAAGATTAATCTTAGTGACTAGTTTCGAGCTTAGGGGCTGACATCAACCATCAAAGGGACAAACCTGTCGCCAAACACTTCAACTCTGTAGGACACTCAACCAGAGACCTAAACATTCAACAGCTTAAAACAGACCCTGAATCAGTTCAGGGCACGGCAAGACGCTGATCCATTGAACTCAAATGGATATTTAATCTGAAAACTTTCCACCCGCTAGGCATGAATGACAAGATCTAATCCTGGAATTCCCAACCCACCTACCTTTGTTGTCCATATTCCAACAATATATTATATTTTCAATGTATACAACGTATATTATCTCCATGTCTGTTTGTTGTTAAATGCCGCACTAAGCAATATTCCAACTATATGACGGCGGTCTGTAAATAATCGAGTCTGGACCAGACAATCCAGTGACTGGCATCATGAGCATCGATCCACGCAATTGGGATCAATGACATGCAGCAAGCCTGACCACCTGATCCTGTTAGTCGCCTCTTATGACAAGCATAGTTACCTTTTTGCGGGAAGCATGGCTTGCTGAAGACCTATTCTACCTAGAATCTTCACGGGTCGTATATTTATCACTGCAGACATATTGTTGTAGAACTGACGGGGTTCAAAGTAGCACTGGTTCAGACAAGGCGATGTGAGGCTGACTTACCAGAGGGTATCCAATGTCGGGATGCAGGTATACATGGTTCAGACTGGCTGGAAGATTCGACTGACATCGTTTACAACACATGCCTGATGCTCGGAAAGATAATTTTTTGTGAGTCTAACAGAAATTATTCCTTCCGAGAAAATAACCGCGAAGTTTCAAACACTGGCTGAACAACACAAACATGTGTAAACAGTGGGGAATGGACGGACGTGAATCAGACAGTGGGTTCAGATCAACATGCTTAAATAGTGGGGAATGGGCGGACGTGAATCAGACAGTGGGTTCAGATCAACATGCTTAAATAGTGGGGAATGGGCGGACGTGAATCAGACAGTGGGTTCAGATCAACATGCTTAAATAGTGGGGAATGGGCGGACGTGAATCAGACAGTGGGTTCAGACCAACATGCTTAAACAGTGGGGAATGGGCGGACGTGAATCAGACAGTGGGTTCAGACCAACATGCTTAAACAGTGGGGAATGGACGGACGTGAATCAGACAGTGGGTTCAGACCAACATGCTTAAACAGTGGGGAATGGGCGGACGTGAATCAGACAGTGGGTTCAGACCAACATGCTTAAACAGTGGGGAATGGGCGGACGTGAATCAGACAGTGGGTTCAGACCAACATGCTTAAATAGTGGGGAATGGACGGACGTGAATCAGACAGTGGGTTCAGACCAACATGCTTAAATAGTGGGGAATGGGCGGACGTGAATCAGACAGTGGGTTCAGACCAACATGCTTAAATAGTGGGGAATGGACGGACGTGAATCAGACAGTGGGTTCAGACCAACATGCTTAAATAGTGGGGAATGGACGGACGTGAATCAGACAGTGGGTTCAGACCAACATGCTTAAATAGTGGGGAATGGACGGACGTGAATCAGACAGTGGGTTCAGACCAACATGCTTAAACAGTGGGGAATGGGCGGACGTGAATCAGACAGTGGGTTCAGACCAACATGCGTAAACAGTGGGGAATGGACGGACGTGAATCAGACAGTGGGTTCAGACCAACATGCTTAAACAGTGGGGAATGGGCGGACGTGAATCAGACAGTGGGTTCAGACCAACATGCTTAAACAGTGGGGAATGGGCGGACGTGAATCAGACAGTGGGTTCAGACCAACATGCTTAAACAGTGGGGAATGGGCGGACGTGAATCAGACAG